ATTGGTTTTCGATGAAATTTATGTCGGTGAAACGTACTGTCGGTGAAATGATTGTCGATGAAATGAACCGGACCCATACGGACCCCATCCACTCAACTTCAATGGTAGATTCTTAAACTTTGCAAGCGAACCCATTACCATTCACCTCGATGTCTACATACCAAAAAATAACCCTGACTGGTTCGTGGTTGATGACATCCTTGAATTAGCTTGCTGTCACAAAACTAGAAGACATGCCGCCTATAAATTAGGCATTCTTTCAATTAAACAGTCATGTAACATCTATTCATTTCCACTCTACAGATCAAACCATTCAAATATCAGAAGTCTGCAACAAATGTACCCCTTGCTCGAACTTGGTTACGAGCCATTGGCATAATCAAATCTCCGCCCAAATACACAATAACGCGCGACTATATTCCCCGTCCAAACATCAGATGAGACTAACAGCAAAGGGTTAAAGCCAGGAAAATTTTTAATGACATATTCGTTAATCGTTCCCTCCCTTATCTGCTCATATATGGGAGTATAACGTGGTGCAAATGTGTATTTTTATCATGTGTGCCCTTTCTCAACAAACGTAGTTATGATAATATTGCTTCTTTGAAAAGGATATAATGAGCCCGAACATGTGGACTTCAGCATTACAATAAATATATATACTGTATAAAATTAAAAACGTATTCGTTTCTTAACAGCCACAAGGGGCGAAGCCCCCTATAAAATTCTAAATCTAGTTATATAATAAATCGGCTCGATACATTTTTTTTAATGCCACTATGTACCGACCGAAAAAAATAATTTAAACTTTTCCAAACTATTATGTAATAATATAATAGAACAAAGATTGATACATACCAATAAAATTCGATTAAGAAGAAATTGTACCGCTGTTTCATTATCTTCTTCGGTTTCAATCCTGTTCTATATTCTTCTGGTATAATGCCAGTCCTTTGCCAGCATCGATAGATTACATCATCAGCTACGTTATTCCATGCCTCCGCAGTCCAATTAGTTGCATTAAATATATTCAATTCAAAACGCTTCTAATGACATATTTACTGATTTAATCATATGATCTAATGACCGTTTATATTAAATCATAGATTCTAAATAATAATAAGTAAAGATCTGTTACTAATTATCGTACGAGCTGTGATCGGCCAGTTAAAATTGAAGGGATATGTGTTACGTTATACAACTATCACGTGGGGCAGACTTATCGAGATGCATTCAACTAAGACTCTGTTGGCCGACTTACAGCTTATCAAGAATTTACATAGATTGACCGACTTATCGAGAATTTTTAAATAGTGAAAAGAACATAGAAAAGATTTTGGCCGACTTAAGCCAAAACCGACTTATCGAGACTGTATATGCATGATGACGACGTGGTGAAATGGTTGTCACATCAGGCCATATTAATCATTCGATTATCAGATAATTTACATTCGTTCGAAAGTAACACCTGATTTAATAATCCGATTCTTAATTCAATTATCCAATAACCCATTAATTATGTACGGTTTCTTCCGAAAGTAACGCCTGATTTTAAAAGGAATTCATATATAACTACATATAAAAATCATCTTGAAATTCGTATATAGTTACGTACAAAAATTATCTTGAAAGAAACAAGAGTTCAATAAAGTATTTCCAAAATGCATACTCAGAATTTCTTAAATTCTATCATCCTTATCTTTATGCTTCACTTCACACTCGTAACTTGCTCATGCGAACAAGATAGTGATTGTGCTTTATTGGGATACGGACTCGTATGCTCAAGCGTTCAACCAACGATGGGATCTTGCATTTATGCGTGCCATGATGACTATAATTTTTGTGCACCGGGCCAGACGTGCGATCATATATCTCCGCATTGGTTATGTACCTGTAACGGTCCGGCCGATTGTCCAAATGGAAAATGCTTTGGTGGACATTGTATTTATTCCTGTGAAAATGATATAAAATGCACTCTATGCAATAATGAAATAGCACGCTCGGCTTATCTAACTGCTTGTGAAGCATTTCTTAAAGGTGTGGTGGGAGGTGGATCAATGATTCAGATGTTCTCGGCTTGCATTAGGGCAACATTTCCAATAGTTATCGAAACTGAAGGTATATCTGGGGTTATTTGTGGATTTTTAGCCTGGTATATAAATGATCTCGTGACTAAAGGTCTACAACCAACGTGTGAAAGCGCTTTGTCAGAATTTTGTAGCACATAGAGAATGTAACTTGGAATTTGGATATTTGAGAAATATTGATCTTTAGTCACTTAATTTATTACAATTATTGAAAATATTTATTTTAAAATAAGGCGATGTATTCTATTTCTCTATTCTTTATCAATAAGTTTCAGAAACCGAAATAAGAATAAATTCTTTTTTGTTCTAGTTGCATCTCTAACTTATAAATGCTATTTGGGAATGTCATTAAAATGGATTTGTCCGTGTCCAAGAAAAAAATTCGTCCAGGTTTCGTCCAGGTAAAAATATGCCAACTTGGACGGATAATGTTATGGGAGAAAAAGATTTATTTTTGTTTTAACTTGTTCTTCTATACTTGTTATTGTTATAATTGAAACGCATTGTACCCCAATCGAAGGATTGTCGAATTAATCCAACGATAGGAACCGTGAGTGACTCGAGGACGATTAAATTATCTAGGATCAGTGTCGCTCATATAGTAAAGTCGTAAGATTGCAGTCGATGCGAAACGAAAACACAGAACAAACCGCGGAAATTTGTCCTCAATTTGCGCCACTCTCTGATTGGCTGGTTTCAAATTTGGAATTGAACAGGCTGTATATAATAGTCTTAATTAATGTTCCCATATTGTAGAATTGGCTATTATGAATTATGCCATCCAGCAGCAAGCCGAGAACGAAGTCAATAAATGCTCCAAAAAAGCATGTTTTGCGATGGAAATTGAGATTCGCGCAATATTCGAATCGAATCTGAACGGCAAATTTTGGATATCTTGAAATTGAATTTTCTTTAAGACTATAATCAAACAGAAACTTTTTGTTATGTTTTTTTTTTGCGCGATGCGTTCTTGAGAGCGTCAACATCAGTAAAACTGTGGTCAAAAGGTTTTCTCTAATCGGCTTATTCCCCTCTAGGTGAAAGGTTTTGACACCACAAGTATTAAGAGCTACAAGAGTGGATCGTTACAAACGCAAATAATACTGCCTAAAATAGCATCTGTATTGCTTTGACAATTGCAGTAAATTCATTGGCTGTTGGTTCACCAGAAAAAAGCTCGACGTTGTCGTTTTGCGTTGCTGTATGAGCTTCTTGCTATGATTTTTTACGAGTATGTATTCGGTTATTGGTCTGAATAAGAGTACTGCAAAAATATTCCAAGACTAAAGCTATCATTTTTACATGCCTATTGAAGTATAGAAAGAAACCCACGCCACAAGCTATTATGACGCATCTTCAGTAAAATATCCAGTTACAAAGCCATTGTTGGAGTTGAAATAGTTAGGCAGCTAATGGATATAAAAATAGGCTCTTGATATCAATCATTAAAATCACTTGGATATATGCATATTGTGCTAAACTTTAATAAATAATCAAATGGTTTAGTCTTTCCTTCGTAGCTAGGTACTAATTGCAGAGACATTATTACCGCTTTGGAGTCTGGTGCACTCGACCAAGTTGGATAAGATTGCTCTATTATAATTGTAGTAAATATTCTAGAGTTACGTATCAAAAATCGGAGTTTATTACGTTAATGTTTGGTTGTGTCATAATGTATAAATTAGGCTAGTCTTTTCATTCATGATTGTTCTTAAAAAGTTCACTGCTTATTAATTGTTGGCAGACTGCAGTTATTTTGTCGGTTAGTTTGCCGCTGCTGGCAAAAAATCATTTCATTGCCTCGCTGTTCCTACTGAAAGGATTGCTTTGAACTCTTTCATTATGAGAAAAAACTTTATCGTCTCCTATCTAGATTTTTAATTAAATGTTCGAGTGTTACAAATTATGAGATCATTCAATGTGCTAAAAGTCACGCTCATCCATTAAATAGTTATAGGAAACCAAGTCGGATGAGCGAGGCTTATTGTTGCTACACTAACAACAAATTGTCTTGCTCCTTTTAGACAAGTGTATCCAAAAAACGTTGGATAAATATATACGGGCCCTTCTTTAAGAAATAAAGCATGACATTGTGTCTTTTGTCGCTTCTCTTCTTCTTCAATATCTTCTGGTCCAGCGTCTATTTTCCCACCTGTTAATGGTCCCGATTGCTGATAATGGGATCATTTTTGGATTAGTATGTGTAACTTGACTCGGGACATTTAACTTGTAATAATGCGATTTGTTGTGTTGTAATAGAA